TCATCGAGGAGCCAGTACTCTGAGTCCAGTAACAAGCAGGGGTCGAAGAATTTCACCTCCAAGAAGGATGCTGAACAGGAAGCTACGTCGTCGGTCAAGAACAATAACAGGAGATCTCAGAACAAAAGAAAGGACGCTCCAGCTCAAGTATATAAGCCAAAAAACACGCTAATGCTCACTGATTCAGCGCATGAGGGACAGCATCAAGATCCAGAAGGGACTAAGGAGGATGATACTGAGCGTGAGCGAGATCCTAAGAAGAAGAAGCCCACACCTGACAATTCGTCAGAGACCGCGACGCGGTCCTGCCAGTCGCAATGAGTTGTATCAGTTGGAACTGCCGGGGGCTTGGGAACCCCGAGGCAGTTCGAGAGCTTCGCAGCATCGTGAAGCTAGAAGGTCCCTCTCTTGTCTTTGTTATGGAAACGAAGATAAGAGGTAAAAGAGTGGAGGATCTGCAGCATACTCTAGGTCTTGGAGGATGCTTTGCGGTTGATAGTGTTGGTTTAAGTGGTGGAGTTGGCCTTTTTTGGTCAAAAGATGTAAAAGTTGAACTGAGGAATTATAGCACCTCTCACATAGATGTTTTGGTGTAGAATAAAGATATGAACTCACCGGTGTGGCGGTTCACCGGTTTTTATGGAGCGCCTAGAGCAACAGATAGACACAATAGTTGGCTCTCTATGCGTACGTTGCATGCCTTGCCGCATGAGGCATGGCTTTGCATGGGAGACTTCAACAAAACGTTGTACGCTTGTGAGCATTTCAGCAGATCGCTTCGACCAGAGGCACAAATGAGAGCGTTCCGAGAAGTTATAGATGATATTGCCTTCCAGGATTTAGGTTGGTCCGGCACAACGTATACATGGGACAACCAGCAATCTCGAGAGGCTAATGTAAAAGCAAGGCTCGATAGAGCGTTTGCTAATGAGGAATTTCGGCAAAGGTTCCAACACATCAGAGTGAGACATTTGAGTTCGATTGAGTCCGATCACTGTTTTGTGGTTGCTGAAATACATGCTTCTCACTCCGTTGGACCCAGGTCAACCAAACAGTTCAGGTATGAAAATGTTTGGCAAACACACATTGACTGATCGAATGGTGGCCGACATGTGGAGAGGCCGAACACGTTCCCCCAGTCTACAAGGCCTCGCTGATTCCCTGAAACATCTTCAAGGGGTACTCGAACCGTGGGGTGTAAAGGAGTTTGGGGGTTTAACTCGCAAAGTTCGTCAGTTGCAGAAACGTTTGGACAAACTTCGGATGTGTTCAGTTGGACGTGTCCCCAATGACGAGGAAAGGAGTATTGCCCAAAAGCTACGTGAAGCATTACATCGAGAAGAGATCCGGGCCCGCCAGCGCTCGCGGATTCCTTGGCTACGAGATGGCGACCGTAATACAGGATATTTTCATGCTCAGGCAGCTCAAAGGAAAAGGATCAACAAAATGCAGGGCCTAATGCGTCCAGATGGCTTGTTTTGCATGAATGAAAGTGAAGATAAGGTAGAAGTGCAGTCCTTCTACCAAGATTTGTATACTTTCCAAGGATTGGTTGATCCTAGTGGGCTTCTTCAGTACGTTCCTGTCAAAATCTCCGAGGAGATGAATAGGGAACTTACGAAACCTTTTACACCAGCAGAGGTACGGAAAGCTTTATTCCAGATGGCGCCTACAAAGGCTCCTGGAGTAGACGGGTACACAGCTGGGTTCTTTCAGCGACACTGGGCACTTGTTGGCGATGATGTGACTCAGGCTGTGCTTGATTTTTTGAATGGAGGCGAATTATCGGCGGGGCTCAATGATACTTCTATAACACTTATCCCTAAGGTACAACACCCTCAGTAAATTACACAGTACCGTCCGATTGCTCTCTGTCAGGTGCCATACAAAATTGCAGCTAAGGCGGTGGCAAACCGAATGAGAGATGATATGGATGAGGTAATCAGTGAAGAACAAAGTGCATTTGTACCAGGACGTCTCATTACTGATAATGTTCTGGTAGCTTATGAAACTGTTCACACGATGAGGCGAAGGAAGAAAGGGAAAAATTTCTCATGTGTTGTCAAACTCGATATGATGAAGGCCTACGATCGCGTCGAATGGAGTTATCTTGAGGCAGTTCTGCTGAAGTTGGGATATGACATGGCCTTTGTCAGGCTAATTGTGAAGTGTGTTACTTCAGTCAGATTTTTGGTGAGAGTAAATGGCGATCTCTTGCGTACTTTACACCTTTCAAAGGGCTTCGGCAAGGCGATCCGGTTTCCCCATATCTTTTTCTGCTTTGTGCAGAAGGTTTTCCTCTCTACTCAAATTTTACAACGTGGGATGGATTGATAGGGGGATCAGAGTAAGCTATAAAGCCCCATGGGTTAGCCATCTTTTGTTTACTAATGATAGTTTAATCTTTATCAGTGCAAATGAAGACAGTGCAATGCGCCTAAAGACAATCCTTCAAGTTTATGGGGCCGCCTCGGGACAAAGTGTTAATCATGATAAAAGTGCCATATTTTTTAGTACTAGCACTCCAAGTGCTCTGAAAAATACCCTTAAAAGGGTTTTGGACATACAGGTAGAGGCCTTCAATGAGAGATACTTGGGTCTACCCACTGCGGTGGGGAGGATCACTAGCGACACCTTTGAGTATATCAGTGATAAGGCGAAAGGAAAAATACAAGGGTGGTCTGAGAAGCTCCTTGCTTGCGTAGGTAGAGAAACCTTATTGAAATTAGTTGTGCAAGCAATTCAGACCTACCCGATGAGTACTTTCCTCTTCACCAAGAAGGTATGTAAGAGTTTGACTACCCCCATGGCAAAATACTTTTGGAGTAGCTCTCTTGACAAGAAATCAATGCACTGGGTATCCTGGCAAAATCTTGCGACACCAAAATGCAAGGGCGGCCTGGGATTCCGAGATTTGCATCAGTTTAACCTTGCACTACTTGGAAAACACGGATGGCGTTTTATGACAAAGCCGGATTCCTTGTGTGCAAGAGTGATGAAAGGTAGATATTTCCTGGACACCGACTTCATGCAAGCAACATGTCCCCGATCAGCGTCGGCTACTTGGCGGGAAATTATTGCAGGAAGAGAAACACTTGATGCTGGTCTTATAAAACGAGTTGGGGATGGAACTTCTATCTCAGTTTGGGACGATAAATGGATTCCAGGAACGAGCTCCATGAAACCGATGGTGAGACCAGCCAACACCACTGTTGACAGAGTTGCAGATTTACTGGATCCACAGATTGGTAGATGGAATGAATCGTTGGTTCATGACACGTTCATTGCAACTGATGCACAGGCAATTCTTAATATTCCTTTAAGCATGAACGGGCGTGCGGACTCCCTTGCGTGGGCGTTTGAGCGATCAGGCTTATACACTGTTAAATCAGCGTACCGTATTCTTATGACTCAGAAAGAGAGTGCAGCTCTCGACGAAGGAACGGCTACGGAAACTTCAAATGAAGAAAAACATATGTGGAAGGCTCTGTGGAAGCTCAATGTTGTTCCTAAAGTGCGTGTTTTCTGGTGGAGGGTTCTCTGAGGAATCCTTCCTGACGAGACCACACTCAAGAGGCGACATATAGCAGAGGTTGATGGATGCAAAATCTGTCATACAATGGGAGAAGATCTGAAACATGCGTTGATTCATTGTGTGCACGCTGCTGGTTTTTGGGATGCAGCGAGGGCATGGTTCCAGATTACTCTCCAAGTTTAAACCCTACCAGTTGGGCGAGGGATATCTTATGTGATCAGCGGATCACGGACAAAGATCCGCCCATCATTATCACCATCATGTGGAACATTTGGCATTCTAGGAATCGGGTGAAGCATGATGGTGCAGCTCTTGATCCGGTGACTATAGCAAGACGTACGAGAGAAGTGATGGCAATCCTTGAGCTACCAAGGAAGGAGCCGGTGGTATTACCTGGCCACGGCTGGCGACCGCCGGAGCAAGGCATCATCAAGATCTCAACGGATGAGGCACTGAACTTTGAAGAAGGCCGAGGAGGAGGTGGGGGCGTTGCTCGCACAAATACCTCTTTGCTTGCGGCATGGTGCAAACCTCATCCAGGAAATTTCGGACCCTTTCATCATGGAAGCTATTGCTATACATGAAGGTGTCAAGTTTGCCAAACAGAGGGGTTCTACGCATGTGATAATGGAAACTGATTGTCTAAAGGTAGTGTCACTCTGGAACACTCGCCACAATACACGTTCGATTGTGGCGCCTATTTTAGATGAAATTGAAGAGCTAGCTAGAGATTTTTCCCTTTTTGAAATTCAACATGTAATGAGGACAGCAAACATCCCAGCTCATCTTTGTGCTAAGCGTGCTTGCACATTGAATGTGACTGAGTGTTGGCTCAATGATACTGTCCTAGGACTGTTTTTTATGAATAAAGCTCTCTAAATTGCCTGCAAAAAAAAAAGATACTCCCTTCATTCACAAATATACAATGTTATACACTTTTTTCAGAATTGAATGTATATACACATTTTAGTTTGTCTATTCACTCATTTCAGTCAATATATAGTCCATTTAAAATATCTAAATATCTTATATTTGTTAATGGAGGGAGTACCTTTTAGTGTCTTTCTTTAAAACTAGAAACTATGGCTCGCCACAATTTGCTAGCCCATGGCTCACATTCGGTCTTAAATTCGTGGCCACAATTGGCACCTTTTGTGGTGACTATTTACCATGTGCTATGTGACGGCAACAATTTGAATAACGGAACACATGAATCTGGGAATTTTATTAAAATTACGTCCAAAAGATTACACATTTACAACGATCAAGAATGAGCGTTCCAGTCAAAGCACTACAAATTTACAGTGAATGAGACAACAAATAACACATTACCTACACTGTAGACATCAAAAGAAAAAAACCAAACAGAAATAACAAAATTAACTACAGCTAGAAAGATAGCCGAGAAAGATACAGTGAGACATCTGCCACCAGTTATGGCTAAAATCATCTTGCCCAATTCAACTTAATGACTCAAAATCTGTGAGATACGGCGTTCAGCATCCATTGGTATCTCTCTACCAGGTACATTGACCTTTAGTATGCTCAAGTATCTACACAAACAAAATAACATCAAACTGAATATGGTTAACCAAAAACAATGACAATGTAAATGAAAAATATTCGACACGCTTACTCTTTTGCAGAAAAAATATATTCCTGTTCAGCAACGAACCCAAGCAAAGACTGCACATTGAGGAATAGGGTGATAAGCTTCAAAGAAAAAACACGACTATATTCGCAAAAAAAGAAAAAACACGACTATGGGTACGTGGTATTATTACTAGTGTACCTCGAAAGGCAGGTTTAGTAGCTCATAGAATGTCCGAACACGATCTAATCTCTGTTGGACTGCCTCACTATCAATGGAAGGTATGGCTGCAAGTGCCTGCATAGAGAGAAATAATTTACACATGTGACTACGGAATCGGCCATCTACTTGATCTATCAAAAACTATCACTGCAAATGAAAGTCCTACCTGTTCTAGTGCTATCGAGTTTCTGCATATTTGTTGAACTCCCAACAGGTTGATGGACTTCATTAGTGCGAGTGCCTTTCATAATTGAACAACCGTAAGTAGGATATCTCGAATCTGCTTTGACAGTACAGGCTTATAACAAGAAGAATAAGCAGTGATTCGGAACAAACCTTTATTGATGCATTAGCAGCAACACTAGAAATCCCACCAAATACATAGTTCCTTTTCGATTCTGGGATGTAAGGAGCCATTTCTTCATCCCTACGTGCAATCTGTCACATTGTAAAGCCCAGCACATGTTAAACGGCCCAATAATATCAGTAAATTGAAGAATGCAGCATTACTTAATGTGCACTATGTGATGCGTGAGTACAAAATATGAACTTGAATTTTTATCTAGATGCATATGCATCCAAATCGATACTCCTGTTTCACTTTTAATAATGTACCTATAAAAAATTTAGCCTAAACAAACTCTTACAAAATCTCGGTAAGGATTAAATTAAGAACTAAGCCAACTACATCCTCTCACAGTGTTTTGAGGCTCTGAACCATTCGATCCGCTCATTTAACGCTCCAGATCATCCGATCACACCACGCCCCCGTGAGTGAGGGCTTTGCACCACGCGGTCCTGGTGTCCCGGCCAGCCCAACTTTATTGGACTGCTGCTCCAGAAACTGAGTTGGGTGCCTTCTAAACTCTACGCGCAACGCAGATCCTCCGAGACCTTTTCCGAGTCTTTCAGTCAGAGGCTGCACTGACTGGTGAGTGTTCCATGGGTCTCCAGCACCTTCCCAGATGTTGTCCTGCCAGCTGCAATGGTTCCACCCCATGGTATACAATGCCTCCTGAGTCAGGTGGCAGAAGAATAATGGCAAGGTAGCTCGACTATCCAACTTCCGTTGCAGTTAGTCTTACTGAAGAGTGGAGATGCGTTACAGCCCGTCTGCCTCCTTTTTCTAGCTCCACCCAAGGTTTGCATCTGCCTTTCTATGTGATAATTTGGCCAAGAACTATCAGTGTAATCCATCTCAATTTTGTTTTTGTCCTCCTTTGTTTACTCAGGGTAAGGCATTTAAGAGAGAAGTCTGGCATGCCTCCTTTGCTAGTGGAGGAGCATCTCCTATCAACATGTCCGATGACGAAGGTGTTGATAAGTTGGGTGATCCTACGGGTGACATTGACGAGAGAGACATGAAGAGTCCAATATGAGAAGTTAGTGCTCACATTTCCTATACGTAATCCTTCGATTGTTTCTGTACAAATACTAATCAAAACTAAAGCTAACACTAATGATGACAGGTGGAAAAAAGCCGGCGAAGTCATGTTCGTAAGATCAAACTGTGTTTTAGCTAGTATTGCACTAGATTTTATTTTTTTGATAAGTGTCAAAGATTTATTCAGTCAGAAAGCAAGGACTTCTTGCAGTTACATAAATGTGGTCTGAAAATTTGGAGCAGGTGAGTATCATGTAGAATATCAATGTTACTATAGAAAGTTCTATGATGCCAGGTTGTGAGCATGCTGAAGTGCACAATGTTGAAGATGACGAAACCAAGGAGGAAGAAGTGCAAACTACCCAAGCCAAAAAGGCAAAGAAGGAGCCTGGGAAGATAGATGGAAGCTCCAATAAAAAGAATCTTGTTCAAAGGTATTCAATCGCATGGTTGACCACTTGATTAGTGAGGATGCCGCAATGAACTCAAACAAAATAGTATTGCCTTTGAAATTGAAAAGATAATGGAACAACTTGTGGCATGTGGAGCAGATGAAGGAACTGATGAGTACTTCACAGCAACCAAGTTGTTTGCTAAGTTTGAAAATCGTTGCTTCTTTAACAATATGAAGACTATCGAAATAGGTGTTAGGATCACACTTTAGACATGTGATCATGAAAGTGTTATTTCCTTCCTTTATGTTATGTCGCTTGAGTTTTGTTGAACTATATTTCCCTTTATGTTATGTCGCTTGAGACTTGTTGAACAATATTTCCCTTGACGTTATGTCACTTGAGACTTGTTGAACAATATTTCCCTTTATGTTATGTCACTTGACACTTGTTGAACTATATTTCCCTTTACCTTATGTCACTCGAGACTTGTTGAACAATGTTATTTTGCTATCGCTCGTGTTGATCATGACATGCACATATTACTTTGTTATCTTTTGTGTCTATGTAGATGAGCACAAGTGGCAGCCATAGTGAAGAGTCCGAAACTGATTCTGATGCTATGGCAATCTCAAAGGAGGCAAAGGCAGAAAAGGTACATGATGGCTGCACTTGTTGGTATTATGTGCAGTGAGAAGTATCTCATGAAAAAGAAGAGAAGAGTTCCTATAATGACCTGACAACAGTGGGTTACTGAGAACTTGGGTACTCCAGAAGATCTGGTCTTCTCCTGAAAAAGAAGAGAAGAGTTCCTATAGAGAAGAGTTCTCATGAAAAAGAAGAGAAGAGTTCCTATAATGACCTGACAACAGTGGGTTACTGAGACAGACTGGAAGAATCGGACTCTAAGTTTAAAGTAGGAGTAGAGTCTTTAGAGGCTCGCTTAGAAGGAATAAAGAGAAAAAAGCAACTGCAAGCGTTCGGGGCTTCTCCTTTTGAGACCGCGAAAGCAGAGCTGGTTACGTGATTAATATTATTATATTTCAGTAAGAAAACTACACTTTAATATATAAACATAAGAATGGAAGAGAATGAAAGAACCTGAGAAGAGCTTAGTTGGAACTCTTTACCGGGATCATAGGGGCTATGCTCCCCTCTCTCTGTCTCAGTCCCAGCCAACGGCATAGCAACACCTACTCTTCCTTCTGATGCAGCCTTCCTGGATCCATAATTTGGCTTCCTCGTTTGGGTCGTTGGTCTTTGTGGGAGATAATGTGTCAGCCGTGGTAGAAGTTGCTCCCTGAGTAGGCATGGGCGCCCGCCTAGATGAAGGGATTTTCTCATCTTGAGTTGTCGGGAGGAGTAAAGGAGATTGACTCTTTGACATTGACACGTATCAATCGGCGTTTATCAAGGGTCGCTCACTCATAGAAACTTTCTTGGTTGTGATAGAACCACTTATCTTTCACCACTCCGCCTATTGAGCAATCGTGCTAGCGTCTCCCTAGAGTTGTGCAACAAGAGCATTTTCCGTGGTATCCACATTTTGAGCTCATTTCTGGTTGCATGACCCCATTTATCTATCCGTGTGTGTGTTTCCATGTGCCACATATTGCTATTGGTCTACTTGGTTTCACTTGCAAATTTGTGATGTGGTTCCTATGTCCATGTGCCATCTCCTCTTAGGAGGACCTTGGCAATTCGACCGCGGCGTCATCCATAACGGGCGAACCAATCGCTATAGCTTCAAGCTGAAGGGCAAGGAGTACGCGCTACGACCCATGTCGCCAAGTCAAGTGATCGCCGACAAGCAAGCATCTACCCATCGTGGAGAGAATAGTGAGCGAGTGAAGCACCCAAAAGAGAGTGACCGCCACAAATCAAAATTGAGTGCCTACACAATGAGCGGCGAGAAAAACTTAGTGCTTTAAGCCACCAAAAGAGACATGTGGGATGTGAGTGAGAGCCCATCGAGTGTCCTTCACTTTGTACTTGTGTGCAAAGACGAAGCGGTGAGGACTAATACTTCACGGGATCTACCTTTGGTGTTGTCTCGTTTGTTGCAGGAATTCAAGGATGTGTTTCCAGATGAGCTACCTCCCGGACTCCCTCCACCTTACGGAATTGAACACCGCATTGACCTCATTCCCGGCGCACCTTTACCGAACAAGGCACCATACCGCGTCAACCCGACGAGACAAAAGAGATTCGACGGCAAGTCCAACGTCTCAAGTAGAATGGGTATGTACGCGAGAGCTTAAGTCCATGTGCTGCTCCGGTTATTCTTGTGCCGGTAGTTATTGCATGTGTTCCGGTTGCCGTCCCATAAATGCTACCACCGTTCGTTATAGACACCCCATTCCATGCCTTGATGATATGCTGGCTGAACTTAGTGGAGCCACCATTTTCTCAAAAATTGATCTTAAATGTGGCTACTATCAAATTCGCATTCAAGAGGGTGATGAATGGAAAACGGCTTTCAAAACCAAATTTGGCTTGTATGAATGGTTAGTCATGCCTATGGGCTTATCCAAAGCGCCTAGCACTTTTATACGTGTGATGCATTATGTTTTTCACAAATATATTGGCATATGTGTTTATGGTGTACTTTGATGATATACTTGTGTTTAGTCAATCTCTTGAAGATCATGTCATACATCTTGGGGATGTCTTGAAAGTTCTTAGAAGCAAGCGTCATTATGCAAACATGGAAAAATGCACCTTTGGTGTTGATAAGCTTGTTTTCTTGGGCTTTGTTGTGTCTTCTAAGGGTGTTCATGTTGATGAGTCTAAAATTGACGCAATTAAAACTTGGCCACAACAAACCAATTTGCAACAAGTGCGTAGTTTTCTTGGTCTAGCCGGTTTCTATCGTCAATTCGTGAAGGACTTTAGCACTATTGCATCACCATTGCACGCATTAAGTAAGAAGAATGCACCATTTGTTTGGGGTCCTTCCCAAGTCACCGCATTCCATGAGCTTAAAAACTTGCTTACGCGTGCTCCATTACTTGCCTTACCCAACTTTGAAAACTTTGGAAGTGCATTGCTACGCTAGTGGTAATGGCATAGGAGGCGTGTTGATGCAAGAGAAGCGCCCTATAGCATACTTTAGCGGGGGGAAATACGAAGCACAACTTAACTATCCCATTTATGACAAAGAGTTGTATGCTTTTGTGAGTCTTGCATATTTGGGAGCATTATCTTCGTCCTCATGAATCTGTTCTTCATACGGATTATGAAACGCTTAAATACCTTAAGGGTCAAACGAAACTGAATAAGCGACATGCCAAATGAAGTGAGTTCATTGAGTCATTTCCTTATGTGATCAAGTACATCAACGGTAAGGAAAATGTTGTGACGGACGCTCTTTCACGCAAATGCATGCTTGTAACCCAACTTGAATTGAATGTCATAGGATTTGAGCACATTAAAGACTTGTATGCGCATGATGCTTCATTTGCTATTCCGCATCAAACTCGGGAGCGATATTATATCAAAGATGATTATCTAATGCAAGCTAACAAGCTTTGTATACCCGAGTCTTCTCTTCGTTTGTTGCTTTTGCAAGAGGCTTACGGCGAAGGACTTATGGTACACTTTGGACGCAACAAGACGTATGTAACCTCTCCAACAACTACATTTGGGCCAAGATGTTTTGTGACGTCTCACGCTACACCAACCGATGCTCTACATGTCACAAAGCTAAGTCTAAAACTCAATCCCATGATCTATATATGCTACTTCCTATTCCATATCACCCATGGAAAGATATTAGTATGGACTTTGTGCTTGGTTTGCCTAGAACTCAAAATGGAAAAGATTTGGTATTTGATGTTGTGGATCGTTTCTCTAAGATGGCACATTTCATTCCGTGCAACAAGATAGATGATGCTTCACATGTTGTAAATCTCTTTTGTAGGGAAATCTTGAGATTGCATTGAGTGCCCAAGACTATTGTGTCGGACCGCGACGTCAAGTTCCTTAGCTACTTTTGGAAGACACTATGCACCAAGCTCGGAATCAAACTACTCTTCTCATGGGCATAACATCCGCAAACCGACGGCCAAACGAAGGTCACAAACCGGACGCTATCTACTCTCCTCTGCGTGCTCATAAAGAAGAACATCAAGGAGTGGGAGGAATGCCTACCCATTGCCGAGTACGCCTACAATCGAGCAAGACATTCTACTACCGGCAAGTCCCCCTTCGTGGTCGTCTACGGATTCAACCCGTTATCCTCATCGGACATTCTAGCACTACCACTACAAGAGCGCACTAACATGGACGTGAGTGCACGAGCAACTTATCTCAAGAAGGTGCATGAAGAAACACGACAAGCAATCGAGCGCCAAGTACAACGACTCGCGACCAAGCTCAACATCAACAAGCACCCCATGATATTCAACCTAGGAGATCTAGTGTGGATACACCTTCAGAAGGACTGTTTCCCGAACGAGCGCAAGTCTAAGCTACTACCTTCCGCCGACGGACCCTTCAACGTGCTAGCACGCTACAACAACAATGCATACAAGATCGCCATTCCACGCGACAAGTACAACGTGAGCGACATCTTCAATGTCAAGGATCTATCTCCTTCCATGGTGATGAGGTTTTCAATCTGAGGTCGGATCTTTCCCAAGGGGAGGGGGGAGATGATGCGGAGCATCCTACGGTCATCCCCATGGACCTACCTTCGTCTCCCAAGACACCACGTGAACCAATGACTAGAGCTCGAGCAAGGGCTATCGAAGCCGAGGTGAACTCGCTCCTCTCCGAACTTACATACTCCTCCACATGTGAGACATGGCTACTACCTCAAGCGGAGACCTTGTCTGTGATCAAGTACTTGGAGGAAGGCCATGAAGCTGCTACCACCTACGTTTTAGGGTTAGCATTGTGATAGCTCAACATTGAGATAGAGCTCTGCTCATCCACTTACCCCTACTCACATGGAGATCAAGGCCTCCATGTGAGAAGATCTCCCAAGTGGATTCAAGACCCCCTTGTGGGAAGATCCTCCAAGGATTCAAGACCTCTCTCCTTCAAGGATTGGGATGAACTAGCTACCCTTTGTACCCTCTTGTGTTGACTTTGGATCTTGTATCTCCCCTTTGTGTATGTGGATCTAGCACATATGTGATTGAGTTTTGTCTATTTGAGTGTTTTCCCTCTCGTGTTCTTCGTGTTCTTGGGATCCCCCTCAAAATCGTGAAAGATCGGCCTTAGGAGTTCCACTCCACATCAGCTATCCCAATTGTGATGGATGTTTAGCTACATACAAAGGGCAATAGTACCATGTGTCGGAATTTAACTTTGCATATTCATCTCTACGCAAAGTCATTGAGCGTGCATTTGGTGTGTTCAAGATGAAATAGCATATTTTACTGAAAATGCCAAGTTACCCATACATCCCCAACCCATAGGCCATGCTTCCAACATTGTGGTTGGTGATGATGCGACCATGCAAGCAACTCGCGAGGCGATTGCTAATGGATTGCTCGCAGATCAAGTATAGTTTCACATATTAGTTGACAAGACTATGATGGTAAGTGTGTATTTTTGATGGTATGTGTACGTATGCAAGCCTATGATGGTTGGTCCATATTTTGGATGATATATTTCGTATATAAGACTATGATGGATGTTGCTTATTTTGGATGTTATGTGTCATTTTCATATATCGGATGGTATATTCCTACCATCATGACAATTCTAGAAAAAATAATCCGTATTTTTTTTGGCTAAATCTCACTTTATCGAGTCAAAACACATGACATGTGCTTTAATCTGCATATAAACATCACCGTCAGCACTCCAGAACGTTACTGACATTTCACAACACCCATAGCTCCTACATCTGACCAATAACTGGGTAAACAAACAGCCAGATTCTGATTCTCAGGAATCCAGAGCAACAGCTGATTCTCAGGAATATAGAGCCAGGGGATTCTAGGGAATCTGTAGCCCAAACAAAGGGGACCTTAGTACATTGCATGTTGCTATATAGCCTAGGATATGCAGATATGGCCCTGGTTAACCTCTAGATAAATGGGTTACCGATAAATTCAGTTAAATGGCCGATTCACCGATTAATCCCTACTCAGCACCCAACCGATAATGACTATTTGAGCGCAAATTCCTGTCAATACTAGGGTTCTATTTTTGAAGAACGTATTATCTGCCGATCTAACTACAGGCAAAAAACAAATAAACAATATGCATTCCTATGGCTTGCCTGTTGGCAAATTTGGACGTACCCGTGTCATGTTTACGGTGTTGAATTTAGCTTTTTGCAAGTTGCAGGGCTAAACTGATCACGGGTTCCTAGTGCAATTTACTTTTTTATATACAGTTTGGCATTGTGGTAACTTCTCGCAAGTGCTTACTAATTTCCATTTGTGGATATAACGGTTAGTTGAAAGCATCATCTTTAGATTGTTTTACTTAAGTCAGTAAATACCCCCCTATGTAATAAGATTCTACAATAAAAACAATCATAGGTTGGCTCTAAAGAACACTAAAGTTGTACTCATACTAACGTGGGCTGGCCTACCTGAGTTGTAAGAGAGATGATGAAGTCATCAGGATCTTCAGCGTCTTGATCTTCTACATATTCTCTTTTTGTCATGTCCTGAATGTTTGCAAGAAAATTATTGACATGCGATAAATCCATCAATAACAACAGAGTAATACCATCAGAAACTTGAGTACTATTACCTGCATGTGATATATTGTCTCCAACTGCATTTCCAATCTCAAGACTCTAACACAATCGGTTGCTAGCCTTCTGTACTCATTAGCAAGAGATGCAAGGCTTTTCGGAATTGCACTAGATGTGCGAGTATGGTGACTTTGGTGTATGTCACTTTTGTTTTCTGAGATGGTGGATGGACTTATAAATGACTCACCAAGCCTGAAAGTTCAAAGGAGGCAAAACCATAAGCATGCAGCACAGGAATTCTCGCGATGACAGATCATAAGCGATGATACAACCAAGAAGATCAGCAAAAAGGATTAAGTATTATATGATTGCTAACTACTCCCTCCGTCCCACAATGTAGCTTGCAAAAACAACTTATATTGTGGGACGAAGGAAGTATTCTTTAATAGGGTGTGACTGGAATCAGATGTATACTATAGCTGGAATGTGTTGATGCTTCATAGTCGCACAATGTTCTAGTGCACTAACTGAATCTACCCTATTTGCCCCTCTAGTGGATATCAGTGGAATGGTACTGTAGTTCAACAAGGTAGCTAAACGAGTGAAACAATAGGTTTACCTTTCAACTGAATCTGCTAAATATTCCAAGGAGTCGCTAAGAGATGCCAGCAATATCAATTTCTGGTCATCATGGATCAAGTTTTCCTGCATACCAAGAAGAACAGTTAACAATTAGCATGAAAATATTATAATCATACACTGCCCAGTCTCTCACATTTCAAGACTATAATAACGCCTCTTGAAATAAAAAAGTTCAACTTGTCCCTTCCACAGTAAATATTATGTATAAGTATGTATCTTATATGAGACTGTATTGTGTGCATGTGCTTGAGCTCCTCAGCCACACAGGGCTTAGAGATATATGCAGAGATCTTCGGAACAGAGTAGAGAAGGTAAACATCAAATCAAATTAACGTGTGAAATTGGTCATCTCCGACTATCTTTCAGTATTAAAATATATAGAACCAGTGTACATCAGCACGAATGATGAGAAGGCAATGGCGTGTAGGTTCATACAATCTTGACCCCGCATGTAATTGAGAGAGAAGAGTACATCTTCATTATATAATACTCCGTATCAGACAAGACACGTGGGTCTGTACAACCAGTTAAAAACAAAACACTGCATGCATCTTTGTCCTCTCTTTTCTCTTGTTCTATTCTATTCCATCTCTCATTCATTCAAATCCAGAATCCCTTTCTCTCATTTATCTGACCCTCACTCCAGGACATGCTCACGGCTGGTACGCTCCTTCTCCACATTCTACAAGAGGCAATGCCTAGAAAGGAAGGCCATGTGAAGTGGCTATTGGACCGAAGTGGGCTTTCTAGATTAGCAGCAATTTTGGTTTTCTATTTAAGAGAAAATGTCTCATCACTTTTAGAACTTGTTAAGCGTAACTAATCAGACTACCAAATGGGGAGCTACTGAATCAGAGTAATCTGATTCATGAATCGGTTATCAGATTCGCGAACCAGAGATGTATACCCCCCTCGAATCCGAATCCAATTCGTAGAAAGTGATGGATCACAAATTGCGAATTGAGCAGACTGCGAATCTGGTAACATTGTCAGCTTTCGAAGATAAGGCATATCAGCCAAAAGTCTAGAACATTATCAGCTTTGAAGACATGATCAAACTAGAAATGTGGTGTACATCTTCTTCTCTAACATCAACAACTGGAACCTGTTAGTGCATGCCTCAGGAGAAAAAAACCATAAAAATATACTGACTAGCAGAATAAAATGCA